TTTGCTTCTTCAGTTGTCACTAACAAGTAAAGGAGGCTAATGACCCCACAAGTTGGCATCGTCAAAATCACATTCACTTTAAAGTGCATACAGTAGCTCAGTTATCACTATAAGACTTCATTATGTGGTTTCTGACTCTGTATGACTCACTGTTATCTATAAACATGGACTCAAATATGTTAGCGTCGCTAAAAACAGTAGCCAGTACAGTAGTAGTACAGTAGTCCGTGTTTGTGGATAACAGTGAGTCATACAGTGTCAGAAACCGCATAATCAAGTCTATTAGTCTTGATGTCTGTTACTGAGCAACTCCACACGCTTTGAGGGAAACGTGATGACAGGCTTGCAGTTAGCATCATGCTAACTAGCCTACATGAGTCATAAAAAGTGTGTAATTTAAGTTTTGACCCTGATAGAAAAACCAGCATTGATTAGCATGCCTGGTCACCAGCTGGCATGTTTTGGATGCTGGTATAATGGTCAATGAGCATGTCCATACTGGGTGACCAGCTAACCAGCACCCAACCAGCATAAACCAGCTTAGGCCAGAATGGAAGTCATGCTGGTCTGTGCTGTTTTTTCAGCGGGGGGTGCAACATATAAGTGCTAAAAATCTGCTAATAAATGTTTACGTATGTAATTCACTTAAATATGTAATTCAGAAAAAGAAAAATAGTAAGTTTTTATATTTAATTGTTTTAGCCCATTTAGGCCTTTAAAAAGGGCAGTAAGAAAACTGGACGCTGTAGCCAAACCGTTTTTCAGTTTTTCAGTCTCGTTTTCATGATATGAAGCTCTAAAAACTGCTGCAGCAAAGAAAATTCTAATTTTTTAAAAATAAAAATATATTAAGAATGTACAAGAACATTAAGGAAGAATAATATAATTTATCTGTTCTTGAGTTTTGCTTTGCACCCAGTCACACAAACTTATTTAGCCATAAAAATAATCTACTACCACATCATGATGAAACGTCCACAACCCTGTCACACAAAATAGAGAAAACTATTTTTATACTTTTTTGCAATATTCACAGTAAAAGTCACGCAATTTACTGTAAAACTGACTTTAGGTCGGTATGATGGGGTTGGAAATCGGAAGAGCTGCAACTTTTATTATAGTCTACATTATTAACACTGTTTAACAAACTTTAAGTGGAAAAATGTAGCCTAATAACATGGAGCTTGTGCACAGACTGCTGGTCACCATAGCAATGCAGACAACAATCATGCCTAGCTAGTAGCTAACGAAACGGCAAAGAGAAAGATTTAAAACCAACATCAATAATTTGGAGATTAATGGACTTATTAGTGTATATAATCACTCCAGCTGGTTTCCTGATACGTTTAATCTGCAATTCACCAGCTTGTTGTTTGAATTTTCCTGTTACACCTTAAATGGTGCCTGAGGCGCCAGAATGTAACTGCTGCACCATTTAAAGTGTAACGGGAAAATTCAAACAAGAAGCTGGTGAATGATAAACGACTTCAGCCTCTTAAAAACGTAGTAGTCGAACGTTGAGAGACATTTTACAAGAAACTGTTCTGGTTTAGTGGAAGAGTTTCCTGCTGGAGATGTGAGAAAAGCAGCTATAGCTGAGCTGAAGCTTAATGCAGAGCGAAGTAAGTCTGTGTCTTTGTTTATATTTTCAGTCTACGCTAGTAGAGACATATTTACAGACAAGATGGTGAAACATTACTTTAATAAAATGGACATTAAATGTTGTGGCTTCCAAGGTGCTTTGATTTTTGTTGAAAGGACAAAATGGCTCTTCCTAATGTTTGAGTTGCCGACCCCTGAGTTAGACCAGTCAGGATCAACCTGTGCTGTGACATCACAACCACTACTAACTGGCAGTGCGACACACTATGTTCTGTGTTCAAGCCTCAAGGCAGAAAAAGCAGATATGCCAGTCTTCTTGGCCAAAAGCCTGAATTTATTGAAAATAATCACAATTTAAACGGCCCATATTATGAAAATCTGAATTTTCCCCATTTTTCTGAAATCATAGTTTGATGTAGTAAATAAACACGTCTCAAAACATACCATTCACTCCCTGGTCCGTCCATATATGGGAAATAAACTGCATTAAACAGCCCATTTTGACTTACTTGTTTCTGTGATGTCACAAAAACCAACACATTTACATACACATACCTATTCAGCCTAGAGTAGCTTAGCTCCGCCCACTCACGCTGAAGTTATAGGGGCTGCTTTCTGAATGTCAGCACAATACGACAGGGAAACCAATCGGAACAGAGCTCATTTACATATATTATTCTTAAAGGCACTGTAACACAAACAGTGTGTGAGAAAGAGAGGCTAGAAATGGTCAAGTAAAAATAAAGCGGTCATTCTCCATTTGGAGGGGAAACTCTGTCATTAAATAACAATTTTCCCTTATGATTTCTCTGATTTTTTTTTATCCTGCTTCATAGTCGCTGCATCTGTAAAACAGCTCGTCACAAAACCAATTTTCAAACCATTTTTAATATAAAACAATATTTTTAAGAGGTTTACCTCAGGAATATGTATAAAACAGATTCGTGTTTACTTTTTATATCATTAATGCTATACTAATTTAAATTTAATTTTTATATTTTTAAAAATGTATTTGTCTCAGAGAATTTGGTCACTGCTGTTATCAGGACTCTTATTTTACATTTTAACACAGTATTTTCAGCTCTATTAAACTGCTTCTTTGGGTCAAGGCTCATCAGAGAGGAAGCAGCTCAAGGCATGAGAAGGCGAGTCACACTCGTTCACTATATTTCATTAATTTATTAATAATTTTGTTTATCAGGCAGCTCATATCTTCTGTGTGTCACCGGTGTTTTGTGCTTTAATAGCTGGATGATTACATTTTTATCAAAATAATGCCGTATTATCATTTTTATTACTGATTTTAAATAGTTGCACAAAGTCACCTGATCAGCCAACGAGTCAGCCCATTTACAGAATCCTCAGTTTTAACCAGAATAAACTGGAGTCACCGTCACTGGAGTTACACCATATTCATACAACACCAGTGACTGTAGAACATGTTTGGAGTTAAGCTCTCCTTTCTGCATATATGATAATAGAAGATGTTAATGGACAAATTAAGATTATTTAGTTTTGGGATGAAAGAAATAGACTTTAAAAAAATGTATCCACCTGAATTCCCACTCCAGATGAAGAACGACCCAAATGAGTACATAAAACCACAGAAACGCAGGAAAAAAAATAAAATGCAAGAAACATCGGTGCTTTAAATCAGAGTCACGATATCAGTCAGAATAATCAATTAAATAGCATCACCAAATCGTTCAGCCCTACGTCTCAGCTCCTCAAAGCTCTGGTTTAAAACTAAAGGAAACTTTGTGCATCAAACATGTCTTGGCCGCTCGACTGCACCCGAGGTAAAGAGGGAAAACTGTTAATGAGATTTTTCACTGAACCTGTACCTCCATTATGCAGCCAAATGCATTCTGCGCCACTCTGTAATGCGGGGCATTTCTCACTGAGGCAAAGCTGACAACACCTGCTCCCATGAGACATGTCCACTCCATCACTGTGCTGCTTACTCCAGCCCAGAACAATGCAGGGCATTTCTGAACAGCGTTCCAGCGAAGACTGGAAAACCAGCATCGCCACCAACAGCACCTCCTGAACATTCCTGTCAGTCTAAATGGACCAAATGGACCTGAGTGAAGAATGGAAAGCTCTGTTTTCGGCACGGTTCTCATGCAACTGCCTCCCCTCCATTTTACCACCAGCTCACGCTTTCATCACATCACACGCCCTGAAAACAACAGCAGCTGCTTTCGGGCTTTTACTGCAGAGTGGATACAGACGGACAACATGCAGTCACACGTGTGCAGAAAGTGGCATCAATCAGTACAAAAACTGGGGGATAAACCTGAACTCCTGCATGTGAATCCACGCTTTGATGGGGAATTCCACTGATTTTTAAAAATTTCTGCGTAGTTCAGTCATTAAGATGTACACGAAGCCCATTCAGAGTGGTTTGGAGTGAAACGCTCTGTTCACAGTGGTGGTGAAAGGAACCAGACGTCCACCTCTAAAAGCTCCCTCACGGAAAGTTACTACATGAAATGGTTATGAATTCACTGCCTGATGACTGAGACACTGTTCTGAGATATCATTTTGGCCTAAAACCTATTTTTTAAGATGTGAAGAGATACATGCTCCCTTAAAATTGCAAAAAATTATATCCTGTCAAGAGAAATTATCTCAAATCTAGTCAATGCATCTCATATTTCTCACACTGAGACTGTTGAAAGCTTATTGTAAGACTATTTAGCAGATTTATGGACATTTTACTTGTTTTAAGTGCTTTTACAAAGTAAAAGTCCTTTAATATATTGGCAGATAGTTTTGCTTAGAGACACATACTTGAAATAAGCTAAATTATCTGCTAATATAGAGAGAATTTTACTTGATAAAATTATAAAATTAAGAAAAAATGTCTAAGATTAAGTCAAATAATCTTACAATATTCTTACAACTGCCTCAAAATAACAATATTAGACATATCAACTAGATTTGAAATGATTTCACTTGACAAGATGCCACTTTTGCAGTGTATTTGGTGGTAAATAAAATGTCTGTATTTGTGTTGTAGTCATGGCGACCCCTGGTTCCTATCACCACCACTGTAAAGACATCTGAACCATTTCACACCAAACCACTCTGAATCTCTCTGATTACATTTTAAACATTGGATTATGCAGAAATTATGCAGAAAAATCAGTGGAATTTCCTTTTAAGTGATTAACAACAACTCCTAAACAGTCCTTCCTGAAAAAAACCACGAGTTAACCACGAGCTCGAAAAAGCCACAGACTGGAATGAAGCACCTGTGCACGGTGACTTGACCTGAATGACACAGACAGATGGACAGACAGTTAGACAGACAGACAGACAGACAGACAGGAGCACATACAAAGTCACACAGATGTTCTTTTGTAAACGTGACGAAATCCAAACGCACTCACCGTTCAGCGCAGCCAGCACCAGCGAGGCCCACAGCAGCCGTACTGCAGACATCTTTACCGAGGACCGGAGCTGCGTTCTGTCTCACTCACCCTCAAACACACACACACTCACTCACACACCCCCTCACACCACTGCTGGAGATCAGGACGTCTCTGTGGGCAGCAGTCTATCTCTGAAGGCTTCGTGTCTCTGGCTGTGCAGAGGCAGGAGCCTAAAAGCTGGGGGGGAAAGAGTAGGCCAGAAGCAGCAGAAGACACTGATCAAGGCTTTTCTAGAGGCTTGCAAGACACTCTGAAGACGTTTCCAGAGGGTTTTCCAGGACACTGATGACGACTTCTTTAGAGACTTCCCGGGACACTGATGACGACTTATGCAGAAGCTTTTCCAACACACTCCGGTGGCTTCTCTAGAGGCTTTCAGGACACTCTGAAGACTTCCCCAGAGGCTTTTCCAGGAAACTGATGAAAACTTCTTTAGGTTCTAGGACACTCTTGAGGGCTTCTCTAGAGGTTTCCCCAGGGCACTGATGAAGACGTATCAAAAGGCACCCCCAGGATTATAAAGACTCTAGAGGCTGTACCAGGACAGTGTTAAAGACGTCTCTAGATGCTTTCCTGGGACACTCCGAAGACTTCTCGACACTGTTGAAGACTTTTCTAGAGGCTTTTCCCTGTACATGTTTCTTTCCTTTCCAGGGATACTGATGATAACTTTTCTAGAGGCTTTCCAAGGATATTGATGATCTTTCCAGAGCCTTTCCCAAAATAATGATGACACTGTCCTGATGAAGATGGTGAAGATTGAAGATTATCCTGGGAGTACTGATGAAGACTTTTCTAGAGTAGTTTTCAGGACACTTATGAAGACTTCTCTACAGGTGTTTCTTGGGACACTCAGACAACTTCTCTAGAAGCTTTCCCAGGACACTGATGAAGACGTCTCTAGAGGCGTTTCTCAGGACACTCTGAAGATTCCTCTAGAAGCTTTCCCAGGACACTGATGAAGATTTCTGTACAGGCTTTCCCAGGACACTGATGAAGACGTCTCTAGAGGCGTTTCTCAGGACACTCTGAAGATTCCTCTAGAAGCTGTCCCAGGACACTGATGAAGACTTCTTCAGATTCTTCTACTGTGCACCCTGAAGACCGCTCTGTAAGCTTTCACAGGGCACTGATGAACACTTCTCTAGAGGGGTCTCTCAGGCCACTCTAAAGACCTCTCTAGAATCCTCCTCTGGACACTCTGAAGACTCTGCTGTATACTTCCCTCCCTCCTACAGGCGAGAGCAGGTTGGGTGGGGCTGGTGTTGATGGACACAGAGAGTGACGAGGGCAGGGCGAGAGGTCGCACTCAGTCTGAAAGCTCCTCTCCTTCTCTTTCCTATCCAAGGCCACGTGTCCTCAAAGTATTAGGTTATCCAGCTCCGGCTGAATCAGGTTTCGGCCAGCAAATGTCTGTGGAGCCTTTTGCTCAGCTCTGTAATCCGGCCTCACACACGCACATCTGTGCCGACACAACCCAGCGTTTGCCGAGCAGCTGTCCTGAACACCTTGCTTGTAGCTACAAGATTATCCTCTGATGAACAAGAAAGAATGGAGATCACAGCCGGCTTTCCTAGATCCTTATGGAAGACTTGAAGGTTCTGAGGTTCGTGATGCTGCGAGAGAAAAGAAACCTACATTTACGATGAGTCAGTGCATAGCATGGAAGACGAGCGATCCGAGCGGAAACCGAGTGTCCTGAGAAAGAGACGTTGCAGTGAAGTCGCACAGTGATTTCAGAAAATGGAGAACGGAAGCATGGGTTTCATTGAAGATCGTGCGTCTTTGGTTCAGCGCCTACATTCGCACGGAGTGAACGGATGCTTATTGCTCACCTCCGTCCCTGCCTTATTGCTGTGGTGCTTGTACGGCGTGCCAACGTGAACTACATACACTTTCAAAGACCGTACGTTGTTTAGATGTCCTCAAGGCGGTGACCTGGCATGCATGCGATGGGGGCAATCATTTCACACCTGAACTGTGGCCGGTATGAGCCTGTTGTGTTTCAAACGCACCTCGATATTGAACGATATTCAACCTCCGGTGCACGCAATGGGTCTACACAGGCTCCTTCCACCTCTGCAGTCTCCGGATGTGCTTATTCCTCATGCCATATGCTTCTGTTTTGTTGCCATTCGGCATGTGCAATGCGCCAAACAGCCACACGGCACAGTCATATGGCTGAATGATTCAGAAACCAACAAAAAAAACAATCTCAAAATATGCTTCTCTTCTCAGAGCATCAGCTTCAATGAGAGCTTGAATCATTCATGTGTCAATAGCAGCGCACTGAGCCCACACGTATATATAGATAATAAGCACAGAGCTACATTCCAACGTCGTTCAGCCCAAAATAACTCCAAAAGGCTCACAATCCTGGTGCATTTTCCTCGTGCAGCGTGCAAAAAATGTATAAATATACAAAAAGTGTTATGACGAGCGTGTGATCCAGGGTTGCCAGCGCAGGGCTCCGTCAGGGTTTGCACCTACCGCCACCGTTAGCATGTGTCTGTGGGGTCTAAATAGCATCAGGGCACACCTCCTCCTCCTCCACCTCCTCCTCCTCCTCTTTCTCTACCTCCTCTTCTCCTCTTTCTTCCCCCCCTCGTATGGGATCTCCTCGTTTCTCCGAGGTGTGAAAAATGCTCCCTTGTTGCTGCGTGCACAGCCTGCGCCCCCGTAGCTTTTGGCTAGCCCTCCTTCAGTTTGTCAGTAATGCCTCAGAAAAGGTAAAGGCAGCAGCATCTTCTTTCACCGATTGAGGCCACAGCACGAGCAGAAAAAAGTGATGCATCTGCGAAATGGCGTGGAGGAAAGGGGGAGGGATACAGCTGCTCAGAGAGAGAGAGAGGGAGGGAGAGGGAGAGAGAGAGAGAGGGAGGGAGAGAGAGAGAGGGTGGGGGAGGGAGAACTGATGCATTGCAGTAGAGGGATGGGATGCTGATTGTACAGCTAGATCACATACAGCACAGGACACCATGTGGATGCAATTTGCAGCTTTGTGCACAAGAGAAAAGATATGCAAATTTTAATGTGCACAAGCTGCAAACAGCAATAAAGCATGCATGTGTTGTACGCTTAAAAAAGATGGTTCTTCTAGGGTTCTTTAGTAAAGGGAAGGGTTCTATTTAGAGAGATGAGTTTGCATGCTTACATGCTTCCTTGCATGGTGAAATTGACAGAGAATGTATATGGTTCTGTATAGTACACTCTTAAAAAATGGTTCTTCAAGTGAAAATGGTTCCATATAGAGCCATGAACACTCAAAGAACCCTTTGCATGATTCTATATAACACCAAAAAAGGGTTTTTCTATTGTCAAGCTTTTAACAATAGAAGAACCCTTTTGGGTGCTATATATTTTTCAAAAAGGTTCTGCATAGAACCGTCTATAGCACATTCATGCACATTTTCCATCAAGCCAAAGAACCCTTCCGTGATGCAAAGAACCGTTTAATCATGCAAAGGGTTCTTTGAGTGTTCTTGGTTCTATATAGTTAATGGTCCATGTAAACAGAGCGGTTCAGAGTGGTTTGGTGTGAAACGATACGTTCGAGAGAAGCTTAAGAGTCAGAACTGTTCACAGTGGTGGTGATAGGAACCAGACGTCCACCTCTAAAAGCTCCCTCACAGAAAGTTCCTACATGAAATGGTTATGAATTCACTGCCTGATGACTGAGACCCTGTTTTATGATAGTTTAGAGAACTTAAACTCCATTCATAGTGGAGGGATACATAATATGCAGGGTGTTTTTAGGCAAAATAGTCCCCAAAGAAAACTTATTAATTCAGATTTTCCACTATTTTCCATCATCAACATTCCATATAAACTCAGAAGACTCGTGTAGCTTCACTGGTGGTTCTGGATAGTAAATAAAATGTCTATATTTGTGTTGTAGTCATGGCGACCCCTGGTTCCTATCACCACCACTGTAAAGACATCTGAACCATTTCACACCAAACCACTCTGAATCTCTCTGATTACATCTCAAACACTGAGTTATACAGAAAAATTGAAAGATTGGTGGAATTTCCCTTTAATAGAGGAGGAAATGAGGCAGAAATGTAGTGAAATGAAGGTTGTTCAGCTGTGCTGAGATTGAGACTGTTGTACAGCTACAGGTAAAGCTTTTATCTGTCTCTTCAATACAACACAAAGCGCTGTGCTGCACTACAAAACATACATT